ACTTTGTAGCCGGCGAATAACACTTGAGGATCCTTCAGCAACTGACTGTAAAAATCGGAAGAAATTAATAAAATTAATCAGCTACCTGGAAGAGGACCGACACAATGCACTGATATGTTTTACCCACTTGCGGATCATGTTTCCCAGCGTGTGATCCTCCTTGTTGATCGTAAAGATTGCGGCATTCGGCACTTTGGTATCCTGTTCCTTTATTATCCTACAAAGCAAAGCGAATATTTAAGTGCGTTCAATTCTAGCTTTCAAAAGTTGAGGTTAGATACATATCAAGGTACAGCGTACTTTTTCTCTCCCTCGTACAACAAGAACGACTCGAAGGTCGGGGGTGCGTTCATCTCGCCTCGTCAATTATTAACAATACTCTTCAAGTAATTGCTACCGAAATATCAGCAATAATTCACAGAGCACCGGTGAAAACCTAAAGACGCCGTCACAATGGCTGTTGCAACTGTTGACTGTTGACCACAATGAACATTGTCAAATGTCAATGCGGTATTGCGGTCCGCGAGTCGATAATCGATTGCGACAAGTCGATACGACGATTCGATAGCTGACAAATTCATCGTGACGTCATTCGAACGAGGGAGTTCAAATATTTGTCTTCGATGTTCCGCCTGTAATAAAAAAAGGCGTGGAAAACGTGATAACAAGGCAAGGATTACGGGAGGGAAAGAACGAGACGCGTGATATCTTATAATGATTTATTATAGCTTATTCTTTATTCGTGACGCAATGTTTCCATCAAGTTGAAACGAGGAAAACTTACGAATTTTGAAACTTGTTTCAATTTTCTAGAAAGAGTGTCATTATCATAATATGTGTCTATTATCGAAAGAGATGAAAGGATAAAGAAAAAAAGAGAGAGAAAGAGAGAGAGAGGGGGGAAAAAAGAGAGAAAGAGAGAGGAAAGAAACACTGCATATTACGTCATATTTCGAAGAAACCACATGCTGTCTTTCTCTCTCACTCTCTCTTTTTCTTTATCCTTCCATCTCTTTCGCGTCGCGGGATTAATCGGCGCTTAGACCTTCGCACGGCAGGGGCGTTGCGAGCGCTCGTTTTTATCCTCCCTTAGCATTTCCCACGCCGCGCCCACCCGACCCACAGCCCACCCAAGGCGCGAAGGTGCGGGGCGCGGATAGCTGGCAGGCAGGGAGCAGGGAGC